CAGAGGACAGCATGCATGCTTTCACAGCTAGGTCATTTGAGCACTGCTGTGGGTGAATATTTCCACACTTCATTGGCCCACACTTATGGATCAGAATCTTTCATGGGCATAATGCCTATGGGGCCAGGAAGACACCAGGGCACAAAGTGCCACTGAAGATCTTAGAGAAGTTCAGGCTAGTGTTTCACCTCTTTTTGGAAGCCACATCACTATGGAGATGGAAGCCTGGATTTTTTGATTGATGATTGAACAAATTCAATCTTCGATTCAAAAATTCAATCTCGATTGAATTGTTTCAATCTAGGATGCTTAAGGTCTTCAGTGTGTACAACTGTGAGGTTGGTAGGGCTGAAATTTACCAGTTAGTGACTCTGCCGTTTGGTGCAACCCACTCGGTCTACGGTTTTGTGCGATTTGCTAGAATGATACACTCTATCGCTGCGCGTGGTTTGTACCTGCTCAACACAAATTTAACGATGACTTTGTGCTGCTGTCAAAACCAGGGAGCTCACTATCTGCGAACCACGCTATGCAACTTCTCTTCACCCTCACAGGGTGGAGCTACGTAAAAGACGGTAAGAAAGCGACTGAGTTCTCTAGAGTCTGCAAGGTCTTGGGAGTCGAGTTTGATCTGAGCAAGTCCGACCAAAAGCTTATGTATTTATACAAGACACAACAAAGGAGGCAAGACTTGAGTGGAGCTTTGACAGGTGTTTTGGAAGCTGGTGAACTGAACAAACACGTTGCGCTGGTGCTCAGGGGCCGTTTAGGATTTGCGGATTGACTGATAGCTTCTTGCGCGGGCGCCTAGGAAAACTGGTCTTGAAGAAACAGATCGATCATGCGTACTCGCGACAAAAGATCCTGGATGGTGACACTTGCCATGCATTGTTGGCCATGAAAGTGCGCCTGGAATCTGGAAAGCCAGTGGAAGTGATTGAAGCAGAACTCAAGCAATCGTTCATCTACACCGATGCTGCGTATGAACAAGATGGCAAGACAGGTGGCATTGGTGCAGTCTTTGTGAATGAAGAAGGGCAGTGTGTTGAATGATTTGGCTTTGCGCTGAGTCCTGAAGACTGCTGTGTTTTTGGAAGCTGGCAAAAAGACACCATCATTTACTAGCTGGAAATGGCAGCTGCGGTTCTGGCCTTAGCTGTTTGGGAACACGTGCTGAAAGGAAACGTGATCACCTGGTTCGGAGATAAACGATAGTGTACGCTTCTCCTTGATCCACGCCAACAGTACATGGGCTGAGGCGTTGCTGCGATTTCACCTTCAAAAAGAGTCTGAAAGCAACGCCCGAGCTTGGTTTGCAAGGGTCCCAACAGAATCCAATATAAGCGACTTTACTTCTCGCTTATGCCCGCATCCGTTGTTGAGAAGTGAACTTGAGAACTCGAAGGCTGCGCAACAGACCTTCCATGGTTTATGCTGCTTTGTGAACAACTACAAGGAGTTGGCCGAAAAGAAATGGGGGAGAGAAGTTCGGCGCAACCTCACTGAAAGTGATGTTGTTGTCTCTGTGAGTTTTAGGTTTGACGTGAGGTCTAACCGGGTGTCTTGGAATCTCTTCATTTGTTGCCATCGAAGGTCAAGGGAGGCTCCTCCAGGCGGAGATCGTGCGTGTCGAGGGCGCAAAATGCAGGTGAGATTGCGTTTTGGATTTGGCGCGGGCAACCCTCTGCGGAGATCGTGCGTCGAGGGCGCGAAATGCAGGTGAGATTGCGTTTTTTCTTTGTCCGGCGCAACCCTCCGCGGACATGGTGCGTGTCGAGGGCGCGAAATGCAGGTGAGATTGCGTTTTGGCCCGGTCCGGCGCAACCCTGAGCGGAGATCGCGCGCGTCGAGGACGCGAAATGCAGGTGAGATTGCGTTTTGGATTGGTCGCGCGCAACCCTCTGCGGAGATCGTGCGTGTCCAGGGCGCGAAATGCAGGTCGCGCTTCACTTTTGGAGGAAGTCTCGGTTTTGGAGACTTGGCGCACTTTTGGAGGAAGTCTCGTACGAAACGCTCGTTTTGGAGACTTGACGCTTGAGGAAGTCTCGTACGAAACGCTCGTTTTGGAGACTTGGCGCTTCACTTTTGGAGAGTCTCGTACGAAACGCTCGTTTTGGAGACTTGGCGCATCACTTTTGGAGGAAATCTTGTACGAAACGCTCGTTTTGGAGACCTGGCTGCGCTTTTGGAGGAAGTCTTGTACGAAACGCTCGTTTTGGAGACTTGGCGCTGCACTTTTGGAGGAAGTCTCGTACGAAACGCTCGTTTAGGAGACTTGGCACTTTGGAGGAAGTCTCGTACGAAACGCGCGTTTTGGAGACTTGGCGCTTCACTTTTGGAGGAGGTCTCGTACGAACGAAACGCTCATTTTGGAGACTTGGCGCTTCACTTGTGGAGCTGGACTCAGACCTGGCCAGTTTGTAGTGCAAATGTAGCGCGGGAAAGAGCTTTTCGGAGCTGGACTCAGAAGTGGCCAGTTGGTAGTACAAATGTAGTACGGGAAAGAGCTTTTCAGAGCTGGACTCAGAAGTACAAACGTAGTGCGGGAAAGAGCTTTTCGGAGCTGGACTCAGACCTGGCCAGTTTGTAGCGCAAACAGTGCGGGAAACAGCGTTGCGGAGCTGGAGTCAGTAGTGTTTGCTTCTAGTGTGATATGACTGCTTCTAGTGTGTGGGCAGACCGTGTGGCGAATTACGTTCGTGATGTCGCAGTGCCATGCGATTTGCGCGGCCTCTGTGGAAAGCGCGTTTGCGTGGCGCCGTGCAACTGGGGAGCGCGAAACACGCTGGTGTAAACGCGGCGTGTCGCTGGTGAGCGGGATGATTGGCGGTATCGTGTGATAGGATTGCTTCTAGTGTGTGGGCAGACCGTGTGGCGAATTAAGTCCGTAATGCCGCAGTGCCTTGCGGATTTGCGCGGCCTTGGTGGGAAGTACGTTTGTGTGGCGTGGCGTAAACGCGACGTGTCGCTGGTGAGCGGGATGACTGGCGGTATCACGTGAAAGGATTGCTTCTAGTGTGTGGGCAGACCGTGTGGCGAATTACGTCCGTGATGTCGCAGTGCCATGCGGGTTTGTACTGTGGAAAGTGCGTTTGCGTGGCGCCGTGCCACCGGGGAGCGCGAAACACGCTGGCGGCGTGTCGCTGGTGAGCGGGATGATTGGCGGTATCGTGTGATATGATTGCTTCTAGTGTGTGGGCAGACCGTGTGGCGCGCTCCGTTCGTGATGTCGCCGTGCCATGTGGATTTGCGAGGTCTTGGTGGGAAGTGCGTTTGCGTGGCGTCTTGCCACTGGGGAGCACGAAACATGCTGGTGTAAACGCGGTGTGTCGCTGGTGAGTGGGATGATTGGCGGTATCGTGTGATATGACTGCTTGTAGTGTGTGGGCAGACCGTGTGGCGAAATTACGTTCGTGATGTCGCAGCGCCATCTGGATTTGCGCGGCCTTGGTGGAAAGTCCGTATGCGTGGCGCCGTGCCACTGGGGAGCGCGAAACATGCTGGTGTAAATGCGGCGTGTCGCTGGTGAGCGGGATGATTGGACGTATCGTGTGATAGGATTGCTTCTAGTGAGTGTGTGGGCAGACTGTGTGGCACGCTCACATCCGCAGATTCAGATCTACCTCTCTACCTCCACACACCCACGCATCTCCACGTCTATATCACACCTGCGCAGCCACACTGTGACTCCTTCACATCCGCCCTCTCTTTCTCTTTTTCTACAGAACTTTTCTCTCAATAACTTACATTTAATTTCTTCGCAACTTCGTACTCAATAACAGATTTTATAGAGAAGTCATGGCTCGATTTGAACTATTTCCTTACTCGGTATTGCTTGACAATCACCTTTCTCGCTCTCGGGCCAACCGTCGTTTAGTTTCAATCCGACTGCAGGGTCTCACCAGGCAGCCAATGAGGCGTCCAAGGTTGGGCACCAGCAAGCGAGTGGTTTTCCCTCCTTTGAGGTTGAGCTAGCTAGAGACGCAGATTTCGGGCCGACAGGGCAAAACGGCCGAGGGTTGAAGAGCACCGTATTGCGGCTTGGGGATGTTGAGCAGACGATTTGAGAAACTATTCTGTTGAATGGGGTAGGCGGCCACAACAAACTGCATTTGATCATCATCATGAACGTTCATATGCCGCCTCACATTCCTAACTTCAGCGATGACTTTTATTGGAGTCTTTGTTGTTTTGATGGATGCAAGGCTGCACTTCTTTGGATTGGGGTTCCAGTTTCTCAATGGCAAACCTTGACATCAACATGACTCAACCAAAGCCGCAAATCAAATTGTTTGCATGCAAATTGGTTACAGGTACCTAGTACTTAGGCACATCGTTTTGGAACATTTTGTCAGCCGCCTTCAACACAACTAACTCGTTTTTTCCCTTGTCAGCAATGGTTTGTCCTTAGGCTCTTAAAACTTCAACAACATATTATATATATAGACTATAGATATATAATATACACTCGAAAAGTTTATGCGCCTGATGAATGTGCTTGTGACGATCCTTCTTTCAGTGCTGTCCTCAGAGTCAGGGTTGTTTGGGCCAAGACAAATTTGTGATTTTGGGTTTGATTTTCTTCACTGTTGATTTTGTGGGTTGGATTTTTCGAGATGGGCTGGATTCTTCAAGTTTGGCCAAGGCGAACTTGCAGACCTCAGTTGCACCAGGAGGCAGCGTCCGATCTTTGGTACGTCGTTCTCAACATTTGTTGGTCGAATTATTCATAACACAAAGTGGTGCTGTGGCCAGCTAGTGTAGCGCCATTTCGCACAATCGAAACTTTGAATTCTGAATTGGAGGCCACCCTCATGGTCCGGCCGACAGTTGGCTGCTCCCGAGCCATTCGATTGAAAGAACATTGCACTGGGATGATGATTCGTGGTAGGGTTCCCAAGCTTGACTGAACAGGCACAATTGACAAGTGTGGATTGAAGCACGCATCATCTCGCTGACGTTGTGATTCTCAAGTTTCAGCTGTTTGGTGGCTGAGGTTGATGAGTGCTGCTTCAATGGCGATGCAGGTGTTTTTTGTCACAGATGTCACTTGCATCATGGACCTTGCGAAAAGAAGATGCGATTTGAGGATAGAGTCCTTTTGCTCCCCTCGGTTGCTGACAGAGCAGCTTTTCTGTGGAACAAGAAGGTGCTTTGGAGCACAAGTCACCAAGCAAAGAAAGCTCACGTCGAATTGATTGACGCATTTCAATAAAGACTTTGGTGCTCCCGTCCTGTTGTTGGCTCTAGGCTGTTGCATCGACGGACTTTGAAATCATCTTCACCATTTCTGGTCGATTACCAGACAGCACTCAGCAGGACCACGTGGTGAAAACATGGCAGCTTCCTTCATGTCGTGATTGGACATTCGGAAGCTGCCACGAACACCCACAGTCCGAAAAAGTCTCATTTGGTCCATCGAAAGCGTTTCCAGGATGGCATTTTTGCTTTCTGGCTGAGCTTGGACGACTGCGCAAGTCAATATGATGAGAAGGCTGACTTTTCGGGCAAAGGAACTGATTTCGGGCAAGTTGTGTTTTGTTGTAATTTTGTTTTTCAACTTGAAGATCATTTGTGCCCGGCTTTCGCTGGTTCTTGCTGACCAGCTTGATTGTTTTTAGCCAAAATACACTAGATTGGCTCGCAGCGTACGGGGAGGAAGGGTCAGCATTTTGCAAGGCTTCCAGCAAGGGGGGTGAAGCATCTACAGCAGTATTTTCACTGTCTCAAGTGCATGAAGTTGCGATCCCTAGAGTTGAGTTGGCGGACATCCAAGCACAGCTTTGAAGAATAGTACAGCCTTGACACGAGAGGCAATCGTTGCAAAAACTATCAAAGACAGAACTAAAGATTGGCGACTTGGCAGGATCGATTTGAGCTAAGTTTCAGTCCCCAGACTTCCGAGGTGTGAACAGTAAGCATATTCGTGTGGCCAGCAAAACACACAGCTTGCGTTTCTGATTTTCAGCACAAGGAAACTGCAAAGCTGTGAAGCAGATCACATCACCTTTGATGGAACAGCATGTTCTTTCGGACTTTCTGAATAGCTGAGGCAAGCCGGACTGAAAGAAGCCGGTTATTCATTATTGGCGAACAAGCCTGGAGCTTATAGGACTCTGCCATGTGGCAAAACTGCAGAACTTCGTAAAACTTCTGGGTTCAAGCCAAGCCTCGGTGGAACGTGGTGAAGCATGCAGGCCAAACTTTAAGGGATTTGCCCTTATCTTCTTGCCCTTTGACGCTCAGAAGAAGCTCAGGCACAAGAGAAGAGACAATTGAGAGTCGAGAATAGGTCTTTGCATTTGCAGACACATTACCTTTCAAGGCAGACCATAGCTTCCATCTACACGGATGGCGTGAAGCCTTTGCCTTCAGCATTGGAAAAAGTTTTGGAGGACGAAGTCGTAGACACTGGAAGGGTGGGAAGACTGGGACCGTAGGACTCTTGTTTGACTGGTCTGCCAGGACTCCCGTGCATCGGTTGTGACCAGCAACTGGCTTCCCACAGGCCCGAAGGCTTCAATGTCCTCCACACAGGCGGGGTTTGGGTGCAAGCCTCGCACATGTGACCAATGCTGATGGTGCCTGTGGGTACTAAGGTGAATGTTCTACTAGTGTAACCGGCACGTGATCATATTTTGGCGCAAGGCGTACGTGAGGACAGCCGTTTCCTCCTAGTTCTTTTTGTAGTGGGGGAGAGGGATGGCTGGTCATGAGTGGGGCCAGCGAGGGAGGTGGCTGCCAAGCGCTTGGAGGAGCTTGGTTGGGCAAGCTTGGCAAGACCTTTGGGATGATGGCAGTCGAGGGCGTGGGCCGCGAGAAATGAGATCGCGAGGATGCTTGAGAGAGGTGTTCTGAGTAGCGACGTCCTCAAGCTCACTCAGGAACACCGGCGTTTGGCACATGCTCCTTTCCGGTTCTATCACCCCGGCGAGTTCAGTGTCAAACCCGGGGACTCCAACGAGAGACAGTCCCTTCTTGAACCCCCGGAAGGAGGATCCCTTCGGTGAGGGAGGAGAATGTCCCCGCTGCCTCCCCTATAAAGCCACATCACTCGAGAACTATAGATCTCGTAGCCCTCCATGGGCAAATCTTGAAGCAACACAGGCAGCGCATTTAGGAAGAAAGCCTTGCCGCCAGCCAAGGTAGAGACGTTGGTTGAGGAGGAAGATGAGTGGGAACATGTGAAGTCTCCTTCTTCCCCGGTGGACACCGGGCCCCTTTGAGGAGACTCGAGAAACCCTCTGGGCCGAACTTGCGTCTCAGGGAGTGCTGAACTCCTTTAAAAAGAGGGCGCTGCCTCCACCAAAAAGCTTCCTCCACGCTGGTCACCATTGGAGACGGAAGAGTTCAGGAAGATGTCAAAGGCAATCTTTGAAGATTTTGTGGTTGCGCAGGTCAAGAAGGACCTGGTTGATGCAGCCGTGGAGAAAGGAGAGATTGTCGATGAGGAATTCTACAAGCTGACCGAGCCGAAGTCGGCAGGCGCCGGGTTGAGGCACCGTGTTCGAATTCCTCGGAGGCATCAGCGACGCTACGCCCGACCCGTTCGGGCTTCCATTCCTTCAGAAGTATATCCGCTCCTTGATCTCTGAAGAGGCAGGCCTCCGCACGCTGCAGAGCATTCTCTATGCTTTGGAGCAATTCGAGGGAGTTTTCGAGTTTTGAATCCCCTGCATCCCAGGATCAGGAAGATGGCCCTGGAGTACGCTAGCAGAGCCCCAAGACGACTCTGGCTCCTCATTTCGAAGTGGATCTACTGGACGACATGGAGCGCGTGGTCTTGGACAAAGACAGGGACCTCCAAACCAGTGCCGCGTGCTGAAAACTAGCTCTGTGTGCGACTTGGCTGGCGTTTTGATGGAAGCAGTTGAGTGGTGTCGACCTGTAGGTCGTCCAGAGGTTCTGGGTCTGAGGGCAAGAGCCGCTAAGACGATGAGCGGGCCTCGTCCTTGGGCCACGCTCATTGTCAGTCCGACGCAGTGCAGGCAAGCTTCAGAACGCGCTCGAGGCGCGCTCGGGACTACGCTTGGAGCAGCGCGCTTGAGCGAAAGAAGGAGGTAATGGACCAGACTGTAGTGAGAAATTGACCTTTGAATCACGATTGCATCCAGTTGGTGTCCAAATCCATGAGGGTTCGTGAACTGAGCACGACCTTGCTCACATGGCTCAAGCGCTCGCAAAACAGCGCGACTCGCTTTGTGCGGCGCACGACGCGTCGCTTCGGCTGCTTTCACATTGGTAGCGGAGCTTTGTTCTCCGATAGGGCCGCTGGATCCGAGGGACGCTCCTGTCTGCGGTGACCACCCCTGTCCCTTTGCTCCGGCGTGATGGCTGCGCTGGAGGCCCTTCGTTGGCGCCCTGGACATGATCAAGATGATCAAGATCTCATGTCCACGGAAGGAAAAGGCATGGTGCCTAGGTACGATGGAGAGCCATCCAAGCTGGCTGAGTACAGCTTCCGGGTGAAGCTGCTTCACACCCGGTTCCAGCATCTCGACGAGGCTGAAGCCAAGAAGAAAGGCCCTCTTGGCCTGTTGCTGATTGATGGACTACGTGGTGGCAAGGGAGCTTGATCCTTCCAAATTGGCCAAGCCAGATGGCCATAAGCTGCTGGTGGACACGCTCTACAAGGCCTTCCGCCCTCGACGACAACAAGATGCAAGAGAGCTGTACAATGCAGGAGCCCAGACCGCTGGGATGCTGGCTCGCCAAGCAGGCGAGACGATGACGAGCTTCCTCCTTCGTCGGAGGACCTGGTACATGCTCATCGACCTCGATGAGAAGCTGCAGCTGCCCTACCCCATCCTGGCGGAGCAGATCCTGGCTAGCGCCCGGATCAGCCAAGATCATCAGCGGATGATCAGGACAGCTTTGCAAGGCGATGTCACGGTCGCCAGAGTCATGGACGAGCTCATCGCCCAGCATGGATCCATCCACGAGCACGAACTCCATCGAGGACACCATGGATTCCAAGACCACCGAGCACGAGGAAAAGGTGGACGCTTCCCTCAACGGCACAAGCCTTGGCAGGGCTACCATGTCGACGGAGGCTCTGCAGATGATTGGGCTGGCTATGACACCGCCTCCCAATCTCTTGGAGGATTTGAAGAAGACCTCAACTCGGTGTACTATGCTGAAGAGGCCTATGACCCGGAGGAGACCTTCGAGTTTGACGAAGAGGACCCGGTCTTCGAGGCCTACATCACCATGCAGGACAATGGCCTGGACTGCGAGAACCAAGAAGCCCTTGAGTATGCAGCGGAAATGCTGCAAGCCCAGAGCGAAGCCTTCTACACCCACAAGAGGGCACAGCAGAAGGGTCACACCGGCTTCACTCCTGATTCCTTCCGAGGAGGAAAAGGTTTTTGCGGCAAGGGCAAGATGACCTCTGAGGAGAAGAAGGTTGCCGGAAGTGTGGCCAGACAGGTCACTGGTCGACCGACTTCTCATGTCCCAAGAACCGCAAAGGTGGCGGAAAAGGATCTTCATCGTCGACTACCTCAACGGCGACTGGCGCCGGCTTCAAAGGTGGCAAGAAAGGTGGTAGCAGCTCAAGCTCGAAACCTCGCACGGTCTACTTCACTGTGAACGAGTATGATCAGAACCACGACCTCGAGAAGGGTGAGCTGCCCTACATGGCCCTCATGGCCTACCGCAACGTGCCACCACCTGCATCCGTGAAGAATGGATTGCTCAATGCCGCCGGCTTCACGCCACAACAATGGGTCATGGGTTTTCAACCCGAAGATCGCACCAGCCTGGAGAACTTCGATGACAACATTGGTGTGCATCAAGGCATCGCCGACCAAGATGACCCAGAGCTTGGACCTTTTGACCGGTACCAAAAGCAAAGCCTTATTAGGCAGTTTGCCAAAGAGGCCTACATCAAGGCCGACTCATGTCAGAAGATCCGCAAGAGCATGCTGAGAAAGGCAGTTCCACTTCGAGGACCTTTCACTGTGGGCAGCCTGGTTTCCTTCAAGAAGAAAGAACGCTGGTATGGCCCAGCTCGAGTCCTAGCCCACGAAGGACGAAGCTCACTATGGCTCACCCACAACGGAGTGGCAGTTCTCGTTGCCGAGACAGCATGCCGTCCTGCTTCCAGTGAAGAGGTGATCAAGAAGCAAGTACTGGAACTCCGACCAAGCCGGAGAAGGAAGAGGCCCTTCCAGTCAGATCTACCTCCTGCACATCGTCTTCGACAAGATCAAGTTCCATATGTGGACATCCAGCAGGGCCAGGATGACTCTATGAGCCAACCCACTTCTTCGGAAACTCCACCGGGGTTGACTCCAGCTATGAATGCACCAGACTTCAGCATATCTGGCGCATCAAGTTCAAGTATGCTTCAACCACCACCAGGACTACATCTTCCAGAAGCTGAGCCAGCTGAAGAGGCACCACCTTCTGGACCTGGCATACCACAACTGGTGGCTGATGATGACATCAATGTCGAGGAGGACTTTCTACGGCTCACAACAGAATCGACATTGGTGACAGGTGGACAACCGGAACCAGAGGTCACTCCGGCACCAAGCACCTCTCAACCCATCGCATCCGGCGAGGCGCCCAACACTGAGGAGGCCACGGCTTTGACACAAGCCATGCGGCGCAGCCTGGATCAGCTAGATGGACATTTCTCCAGGAGGCCACCTACCTCCAACAGTTTTCTAGCACGACGACTTGACGCCAAGCGCAAGTTCAAGAAGAAGCCACAGAAGGCAGGAGCTGGCAGAGAGCTCCACTATGAGCGGGAACTCCAGAAGTGCAAAAGGCACTACAGGGCACTCGGACCAAAGAATGGTCGAACTGGGAACACTACAGCGATGGACACCTCATCACCAAGACCGAGCTCCACAACATGATGGAGGAGGACCCAACCTTGGAGGTGATCCCCACCAGATGGGTGGATGTCAACAAGGCCGAGCCTGAGGAGGAACCGCAGTACAAGAGCCGTCTTGTGGTGCGAGGAGATCTGGAAGATCCCAGCAGGATGAGGACTGACAGTCCTACCGGCCCTGACTATGCTGAGCATGGTTCTATGCCTGGCTACATCCCGAGGAACCACTTTGCACTCGGGAGACATCTCAGCAGCTTTTCTGCAGGGCAGCAAGCTGGATCGGGTGCTGATTCTCTCATTGCCCAAGGGAGGCATTCCACAGGTGGACCAGAGCGAGGAGGAGAAGTTCTTTGTGGTTAGCTCCACCATCTACGGCACCAGAGATGCACCACGGGGATGGTTCAAGAACTTGGACAGCACCTTGAAGGCTGAAGGCTTCAAGCCGATTCCCCATGAACACGCCGCCTATACCCTCGTCGAGGAGAACGGCAAGTTGGCGGGACTTCTGGTAGCGCACGTGGACGACCTCATCTGGACCGGAGGATCCTTCATCGAGGACAAGATGAACAATGTCTGCCAGCGCTACAAGTTCGGGAAGCTACAGCAGGACAACTTTCGCTTCTGCGGAAGAGAGATCAAGGGCATCAAGGTGACATGTCCCAACCTGATGGACCGTGTTCGTCCCATCGTCATG